TAGATATTGAAGAGAATACATTTAGACATTTAGAGAAGTTTAAAAATTTAGGGTCTACAATAATTAGATGAAACTAAATTGACGAAGAAATTTAGACTAGATTGAAGGCAGGAAATGCTTCTTATTTTTCTGCAGTGAAACTACTTAGCTCTTATCAGACTTAATTGCAATCCTTCTTTCCTATTGATTGCTGATTCTAATGTTAGAACCATAATATTAATATATATATATATATATATATATATATATATATATATATATATATATATATATATATATTCAGTGTGTCCAGTGCTCTCGCCATGAGCATAAACATAAACATAAACATCCACAATTATTTCCATCTTATGTTAGGTGGTGCTAGAAATAATTTGGAACTTAAACTGATACTAAATTACAAAGTGATCATCGGTGAACCGTTCTACTCTCACTGAATAAGTAATCGGAGAATAGTCTTCAATATAAAAAACATAGTGGAACGAGAAGTATTTACATTACACGTCTATAAACGGAGAGTTGACATGTTGCGTAGTAGTGGGGAGCACATGCACAAAAATTAGTTTGACTGACTTGTCTTATATACTAGGGAGGTTATGTCCATCGTCTTCAGAAATCTCACGATATTCTTTATTTTCCCTTTTTTCTTGAATATTTCTCTAAAAAACAAATAAAAATGATCAATTGCCTGTTATGTAAGAAGATCGTGTCAAGGGAAGGTAAAAAAACGTTGATTTGTTCCACTCCCACCTGCCAAGCAATTTATCACGGGAAATGTTTAAATGTAGAAATAAAAGACATTGAGAAACCCTCATAAAAAGAAATGACTTGGAAATGCACCAATTGTGACAAGGCCCAAAAAACTAGTTCGTCTACCGCAAGAGGCACAACCTTGCAGCATACCACTGGGGATGCTGCATTGCAGTTGCTGCTCTCTGCAATCCAAGAGCTTACAACGGAGGTTAAGAGCCTGAGAAGATCTGTTGAAGCTCATGCCTTTGACCTTAAGGATTTAAAATCATCATTGGAAACCCAGGCATCTATCACTTTCCCAAATTTGAAGCAATTAAAAACTATAGTCTCTTCTGGAAGCTCAAAACTCGAAAATAGATGGCTTGATATTGGAGAATTCGACTCTAAAAACACGAGTGTCAGAGCTCGAAATAGAACTAAACAGATCCGAGCAACAGCACCTGGTTAAAACCACAGAGATCAGAGGAATTCCGGTGGGACCTGGTGAAACTCCAATGGGCCTGGTAGTGAGTGTAGGTGCAGCGCTAGGGCTAAGCCTAAGGGTGGAAGATGTGGACAGCGTAGAGAGGATCAGAACTCAGCAAGATAACAGTCCCGGTCCACTATTGGTCAGATTTGTCTCACAAACGCTAAGAGATGAGCTGATGCATAAACGTAAAGTGGTAAGAGATTTATCTACTCGTCACATGGGCTGGCAGGATGACCTTGACTAACAGGCACCTGTACTGGCTAGCCAGACAAAGGAAGGTGAACCGATGGTCAGCCCGTAGTTGTTAATTCACCTTCTGACCTTGACATCTTCGCTTGACTTCTTTGCTCTAGTTCCTGCAACCCACCACCTCGTTTTCTAGCTACTTTCTTCTGTTTACTTAACTTCTATAACTTTAATATTTTCTTTCAATTTTGTTTATGTGTATATTGCAGCCAATTTTATTATTACTTTTAATAGTATTATTGCTCATTTTTCACCAGAGTATATTTTGGTTCTACTGTGTTTCTTATCTCCATTGATTATAGAATACTATCTGGATTATTTCTTCTACCTATTTTTTCTAGTTACTACTTTTCAATAGTTTTGTTATTAACGTTTCAGCATCTACAGTGTATCTCGGATCAATCCAACCTAATTATTTCCTCATCTTTCGCCCCTATACCGCCCAGTCTACCATCTCTTATGACTAATGTCCTATTAACCTGTCATGTCAACTCACAGTCACTTTTAGCCCAAATAGATGAATTCCATGATTTCTTCCTCCACAACTTTTAACACCTAATTGCTGTCTCTAAAACTTGGCAGAAACCCACAATCACATCCTCTCAAGTTTCACTCCCTAACCATACCCTACTCCATGATAGCCTGAAATCCAAAACCCTTTCTTTGTCACCTCTCTCCGCCTCCCCACATAGCGAATATCTTTTTGCTGAAATTTCCACATCCTCATATCTGTTACTCATTGGTGTTATCAAACGACCTCCTAGATACCCTTTGATGAAACACTCGAGACCATCCTCTACGAACGAACTGAGCCCTTCCTACTCTAATATTGTTCTTTCCGGAGACTTCAATACCAACCCATTATTTCCTCTGACCAAGCCTATTTATCAAACCTCCTCTGCTCTCTTAATCTGTATATAGTCCCGTACAACCCTACCCATCACACCCAATACTCAGACTCTTGGCTCGATCTTTGCATTATTGACTCTCCTGATAAACTCCTCGCCTCATCACAGCACCCGGCACCCGGCTCCTTTTTTGTTTGCTCATGATCTCATACAGGTCTTCTATAACCTTCCTGTTCATCTATTCTGTCCCCGATCTATATCTTTTAGAAGTCTTAATCTCCTATCATCCGAAACTATGATGCTCAATCTTGACACAATCCAATGGGACTCCATATAACTGCACATTATCCTAGACTGTCACGCTCCTCTTAAAGTCAGGACAATCAAGTACCCACCAGCCCCTTGGTTGGCGCCTGCGATAAAGAATTGAATCAAACGAAGAGACGCAGCAAGACGAAGGTTTAAGCGTGCTCGACTCCCCGAAGACTACACAAATTTCAAGCTGCTTCGAAACAGTACGTGATACACCGTGCCAAATCCACTAAAACCAACAATCCTTATCTAGCATTTCAAACTCCAAAGCCATGTGGGCAATCCTCCATAAATTATCCTTAGGTAAATCCACCCAAACCCAGACTACCTCTATTTCAGCTGACATACTCAACACTCATTTTGTCTCCTGTTCATCCTATCCCTCTATCCGAGCACCAGCTCCACCCCTCATATATCCCCCCTTTAATCCCAATAAATTTTCTTTTCGCATATTACCCCTGACAACCTCCTTAAATCCATTTGTAAATGCCAAACCAAAGATTTCGGAACAGATAATATCCCAGTTAAATTAATTAAATCCTCACTTCCATCCATTTTCCCAATCCTTTATCATATCTATAATTGTTCACTACAAAGTTCCACTTTTCCCAGCACCTGGAAAACCGCCCTTGTTTTTCCACTGAACAAAATCTCTAATCCCACACCTCCTTATGATTTACGTCCAATTTCCCTAGGAAGCGTTTCAAAAGAATGTGAAACCTGGAAGACATTTCATTCAAGATCCTTTGAAACCATATCCAATATTCCTTGCACCATGCTAAGGCAAAATTCTCTTCCACAACAAAAAATACTATTATATAATATAGTATAATATATATTGACCACACCCACGACTAACTTCTTCTGAAACTGAATTATTGTTCATTATATTGCTTAGTATAAATATTGACTTGATAATTATTAATTTGTCGATATTAAATTTGCATACTACAAAAATTAATTGATACTACATTTGATTAATGAGTAAACTTGAAGATCGTTTCAGTATCAACCAGTGGGTAGTAACGTTAATTTTAGAAAACCTATACTTTATAGCAACTTCAGTGCCTTATTTAGATCCAGTCAATCCTGGGGCTCCAATCTAAAGGATTCCTGTCGATTGTAAGAAATTATAAAAAATTAAAACCATTTAATATATATTAACTCTGACCCACTAAATAAAGCTTCTGAATTAGAGAGATGCTGAATGAAATACAATTCACCTACAAAACAATAAAATGATCTTCACAAGTTTCATTTTAATTATTTATTTTCTTATTTGGAGTAAAGGGGTTCAGAATGCTCATTATGACTGCTTAGGGGTGCCAAATGTCCAACAAAAATCCAGCATTGATATAATTAAAGATGCGTTTAGACATTCCACAAACATATAATGTGTGAAATATAATTACCTAACTTATCTAATAGCGACATTAGTACTAAATCCAATTTTTTTTAGTTTCTCTTGTTACCGAACAGCAGATGAAACACATAAAAAACAAACAAAAACACTAGCATAAGGAAAACACCAATAAAATATTTTTGTTTCCATTAGTTCGTGAAATGTCTAAACGCACCTTAAGATTTACACTGATTTATAAAGTTTTTCTTGCTGAGTATGCCAGAAATGGCGAATTAAGAGGTCATAATAAATGTTATACTTTAATAATTACAGATATACTTAATTTGCAGTTAATTTTCTTAAATAAATTATCTATAAGAGAGATGTATGACTAGTCAACACATCTGCCACTAGTTAAATGAAAATAAACATTAACCAAACAATAGTAATAAATCTACATTAAAAAATTCATAATACAGAGCTATTACAAAAATGATTTTATATTATTCAATTATGTAATGTCAAATGAGAATCGTAAAAAAAAAAAAATTAACAATTACTATCTATGGGATGATTTATACATATAATAACAGGCACTGATAAGAAGTATGATATTTGTCATGGACTTGAAAGTACCACAAAACTTATAAATATAGCATGAAACAAACAGTATATGTTATCTTGAAAGAACAAGAATGCTAACAAGAAAACATTAATGAAATTACAATTAAATAATAGACATTTTAGGTACGCACAGACTAAACCATTGTTTTTTTATATTTATTTCAAATCATTATCATCTAAATCAATATAACTATCAATAGAAATTTAAATAACTAAGTAATAAACAAATTTTAGCATATAATGCAAATTTATCTTTTGGCTTAAGGCCGTCTGAACAATTAATTTAAATTAAAGCAAGAGTAAAAACTTAATGGAAGACAAACAAATAAACAATCGCAAATTATAATAGACATGACACAAAACAAACAAAGATTAAGAAACTTCAAGGAAAAACACAACAAAAACTTACTTTTGGCAGCATTTAACAAATCTTTTACTTCTTTAACTAAACGTTTTATTTGCAGACTAGTCCTTTCCAATTCTTTTTCATGGGCATGTAAGTTTTCTCTGAAGTAAGGACTGTCACTTATACAATCAGTGAATTCCAGTGGCTGCAGTCTTAGACCCATATTGTCTTAGAGGTGATAGATAAAGGAATAATGTGCAATCAAACCATTTTTTAAAAGCAAAACCAAGAAGGGAACTAACCTACTTTCGGCATTAGAGAAATAAACCAATTTATCGCGGGGTGTTAGGGTACACTATCAGTCAGGTGACGAATTGTCAAAGCTACATAAACCAAAGAGGTATATCATGTATTACCCTCTGGTTCATATTTGGTAACTTTATTTTATTTGTATACTTTTACTCTTCCGCCAGTTACGTAACGTGATCCAATACTTTCCAATACGTAGTCAAAAACTGAATCCACTTCGCTTTCTTTAAAAACTGGTACAGTTAGGTGATTGCTTAAGTTTAGATCTTAATACATATATACGTACTTAGGGGTAAAGCCCTATAGTGGTTGAGGAGAAGATGATATTATCATAAGACGGAATTTTGAAAAGAACCTAATGATTCTGCACGGAAGTAAATGATGAAGGTCCATCTCCATATCTTATTAAATCATCTGGTTTAACCATGACGTTTGTGTTCTATTAAGGGTCCCTTACACGCTCAATATTATTGAGTCAATATCGAGTTTCATCGATATATTGACCGTGTAAGGGCTACATTGGCATCAATTATATTGACGTCAATCAAACTAATTGATATAATATATTTTTTTTATTGAAGCTCCTTCAATATTAATGAAACAGTGTCAATGAAATTGTACGTGTTAAGACTATATTGAGATTTAGGGTTCTTGAGGACCTCTGGGTGATATCGAATTTCCTGTGCTCCTCCTGACAATATGTTTGAGTAGGGAGGAGTGATACTTTTTTTTCGGAGAGGGTTAACGCCCCATCAGAATTTAAAAAATAAATAAAATGGCAATATGAGTGGGTAGGTGGGTGATACTTTTGATACAAGATTTGATTAAAAAAAATTGTATTAATAAATTTTGTATTAATAATAAATAATTAGGAAACAAGAACCAATTTAAAACAAGAAACGTTTTAATGTCTAAGAACAAAACAAACATTACAAAGAAAACTTTTTTTATTAATGCTAAAGCCAAGACAATTAAAGTAATAGGAGTTTCATTATTATTCATTTCCACAAAAAAAGAAAGATTACCTCTGTTTAGACAACTTTTTATTTTATTTAAAGAAAGGCAAATAATTCTAATGAGTTCTACTTAGGCAACATTTGACATAATTTTGCAGTGGGCTGTATTTTTATTGAATTGGTAGATTATGTGTTTTATGAAAAGTAACTAATTCCTTTGTGCTGGCATATAAAAATATTACGTGGCCTTTGAAGGGCGTCCGGTCTAGTCTTAGGTCCTTTCAATTCAGGCGCTTGGCAAAAAGTGGCTGAAAGATCTGCTCACTGTAGACTTCTAGATTCTTATCAGATCTGTTTTACAACCCATCGCTAGGCGGCGTTCAGGTGCAAATTAGAAGTACACAAAACATATCCTTTGCTGTGAAATATCTCATTTCATAAAATAAAAAAAAATAAAAAAAAACTCATAGATTGGTAATTACTGGGCAACGCACAAACGAAAGGAAAATTGCTTGGTTTACAATAAACAAAGTGAAATTTTTTTCGAAATACACTTTTGGAAAATATGAATACAAGTGAGCCAGATCAAAAATATGCTAGTAAATTACAATTCACTTAAAATAAAAATGGCTCCTCATTAAATGTAATATAAAAGAAAAAATATATTTACATATCAATAAAAGGTATCTCGAGAAAGGAGAGACACTAACTTGTGCACAGGTCGTACCAAAGTGGGTGTAGCAGTACTCAATCTTACCACCCTAACTACATCGTCAGGACCTGGAAGTGCCTCTATGATTCTGGTAAGCTGCCACTCCTGCAGTGGAAAATCTGTTTCACGTAGGATAACAAGTGCTCCTTCTTTCAAAATGTTTCTGTCAGTATACTAGTTGCGAGGCACCAAACTGTGGAGGTACTCGTTATACTATCTCTTCCGAAAATGGTAAAGAGTCTTAGAAACCGTCTTCCAACGGCTTGTCAAAGGAAAGAGAGGTGCGTCAGAACAGGTTCTGGTTTGGCTAGGAGAGGTTGACATATTAGTAAGTTCCTCGGGGTGAGGTAATCGATGTTATCCGAAGGCTGACTGCTAATATTACAGATAGGACGGGAATTGAGAACGGCTTCCACTCGTACCACTAGAGTATAAAACTCCTTATATGTTAACGCATCCTAGAGAACGCCTGAAGTTGCCTCTTAGCAGATTTAATATTAATAGCTGCCTCCCAAATACCACCGAAATGAGGTTCGCTCTGACCCTTAATGAATTGATAAAGCTCCTTCAACTTCTTGAATGATCCAACGAAATTTGTTCTACAGTCACTATAAATATGCGAAGGCTATATCACTATAAAAATTCTGTCTAATGTGGCAACAAATGAAGGAGTGAATAAGTCCGTTACAAGTTATAGATGGATGACCTTGGTAGACATGCATACGAAGAGAACTAACCAACATTTTGAGTTAGGAGCATTGCGCTTACTGAAAATTTTCACAACGAAGGGGCCGCCATAGTCTATTTAAACTCACTGAAAGGATCGATCCTTTTTCGCCCTGATAGACAGTAAATCACTTATTTTTGGATCCTGTGACTTGGCATTATTTTTGTGGTATGTAACGCATTTATAAATTCGGCTTCTAATGTGTCCTCTCAGAGAAGGGATCCAAAATTTGCGATGAATGAGCGGCTGGACCAACATGGGTCCAACATGCAAGGAATATAATTGGTAATGGTCATTCTATAGGACTACTAAATGTGAATCTTTAAGTATCAGCAGCGGGTGCTAACTTTTCTCAGCAATTGTAGAATACTTTAATCTACCTCATACACTGAGAGCTCCGTCCTTATCAAAAAATGGTGTGAGCCTGTTTAAGGAACCCTTAGATGGTTTACCACTGTTAAGACAATTAATTAAGTCAGTGAAGTATTTCCTCTGAATGAGTTTGATTTAAATCATTAATGAATCCTTAAGCTTGTCAGCAGTTAAGATTCCTGCTACCAAAATACCGTGCTTCCGATTTTGGCAATGTTTAATAAATATCAAAACAAAAGCAAAAACACTTTGCAACTTTAAAAGGCTCGAATACTTTTCCAGATAAATCAATAAATCATTAGGTTTTTCAGCCACTATCAGAAATATTGTTTTTACTTCAGGCAGAATGGATGCAGGTTCAATATGGTAAATAGGCATGTCAGAAAGAAGTAACGTAATAAATATCGGGCCGTTCCAATAAAGATCATGAGAAACTATCTGGTGTGATGTGAGGCCTCTTGATGAACACTTCGCTGGATTCTGTTTTGTAGGAATATAGTGCCAACAACTGGGTTCTGTTAACATAAATCTTAAGTTCATGAGGAATAGATTAGGCTTGAAAATTCCGCTATTGACAAAAAGGGATATCAACGGTGCCATAGACAAACTTACAGCATCAATAACAGCCATTATTAATAAAAACACCTGCACCAGTAAAGTCCATCCATAACAAACTAACTTGCCACAGCATATTCGTATCTTATTAAGGGAAAAATGCAGAGCAAGATCGAAGTGGTATGGAACTAGATATCCAACAGACAAAACACATAACACCCAACTGACTAACAAACTAAAATCAGAAATTAAACTAGGGACAAATCACTATGGACTACCACTAAGAAGCTCCTACAATTTAAAGACTACGATCATCCACTACTAACCTAACAACAAACCTGGTCCAAATCTGACGAAGAAAAGTCCCAAATATTGGCTCACCACCTCTTCAAAATCTTCAATCCACATTCTGGTATCCTTAATCCTAATCACCTTGAATGTTTTGAAGCAGAACTGGATATTCCACTCCAAATGACTTTTCCACCCAATGCATGCCATTCTTTAGAAATATCCAATATCATTAACAGATTACCTTCCCGCAAAGCTATTGGACACAACCTCATTACTTCCCAGATCCTAAAATTGCTTCCTTGGAAATCCATTCTATTCCTTACTCATATATATAATTCAGTACTACGTACCACATATTTTTCTGACCCTTGGAAACTGTCCATTGTCAAAATGATGTATAAACCTAAAAAGCCACCAGAATAGCTATCCTCTTACCGTCCCATCTCTCTTTTCCCCATCTTGGGCAAAATCCTAGAAAACCCATCTTAAAACGCCTATATCCCATCCTTGATTCTAAGCATATTATCCCAGATCACCAATTTGGATTCTGCACATCTCATTCTACTATCCAGTAATGTCATCGTGTGGTAGACGGATTATCGTCTGCGTTGGAGGGCAGAATGTACTGCACGGGAGTCTTTCTCGACGTTGAACAGGCTTTTGATAGAGTCTCGCATCATGAATTGATGTACAAACTGCGGAAATCCCTACCACCTACATATCTCCTCATTATCTGTTCCTACCTTATTGATAGATACTTTAAAGTAAATCACAACAATACCTATTCATCCCTTTACTCTCAGTCTGCTGGTGTTCCTCGAGGTAGTATCCTAGGTCCTATCCATAATACAGTTTATACGGCTTACATCCCGACCCATCTCAACACTATCACGACATATGCTGATGACACGTTATCAGTTAATAACGATCCAGCAATTACATCACAAACTCTTCAATCACATATTACAAACCTTGAAGAATGGTGTCAAAACTGAAGAATTAAAATAAATTCCTATAAATCCCCTAAAATTATTTTAATTCCTCGTCGTAAACCTATAACTGCCTGTCCTACAGTATATATTACAAAAGACTTATATTCATGACTATAATAAGGCCATTAGGAAAAACCGGAAGCGAAACAACAAATCTACCCTGGAGATCACGAGTGTATGTATGATTTAGGCGATCTTCACAAAATGCCTTTTCCGGATTTGGTGGAATTGAAACTGTGACTTCGCTTTGATTTCTTCAGTAAGGGAAGGCTGGTCTGCGTGAAAAGAGTTCGTACTGAAGGTGCTGTGCTTTCTAAGAGGGTGTCCCCAAATAATACCCATCCTAATGAGGTATAAATAGCTTTCGGTTGACCCTTTAGAAATAAAACAGGGTCCCTTAGAACTTCTCCGTACATCTCAGCT